GCCTTGCGTGCTGGACACAATAAGAATAATCGAAGTTAATTAATAATGCAGCCCGACATTAAAAGCAGATCCTCTACGTGAAAAGCGCTTTTCAATTTTTATGAGGCCCAATTATTTTGATTATCATCGTCAGAAAGACAATAACGAACGCCATAAATTTCCCAGCACGCGTCGATCGATTGTGCCGCTCGGCTGGAAAATCCAACCCCTTTATTTTGCTGCCTCTGCGCTGGAAAGACAAAAAGCTTTCAAAACGTGCGTCTCCGCTCTTGAGAGGCGAAAAACAAAAAGAATAAGAAACTGCACGCGCATTGTTCTTGTCAACAGCCGCGGCTAATTCTGCTGAAAAATGTTTTTTGTTCCTTTCGCTCGACGGATCGGCGCAAACACCGAATTATTCCTGCTATTTATAGACGCTGCTTTGATCAGGAAACCGGAGCGAGCGTGACTAAACAACTTTCCTCCAAAATAAATTCTGCAAAGTCATTGATTTCACCGAAAAACCAAAATTCGGTGGAAATTCTATAAAAAATTTGTTAAGGCAAAGTATATTTTTCTCACAAAATGACAAAAAAACCAGTGCAGTTTTGGAAATTTTTGAAAAGCTGGTTTGATATTTTTTGCAAAATTTACAGCAGCAAAAAGAGGGTCCACTTTTTTGGGCAAAACCCTTTTAGGTTGGGAGGTTGACGAGCCCCTTCAGAACGTAGCCCTTGCACACAAATAAAAGTTTGGAGGGAAAATATGGCGAGCGGAGGTTGAATTTTATTCGCGGCCGTTTGTTTTACGGCGTTTTTCCGGCCCGGGCCCCTGCACAACTTTTGTTTTCCCCTTGAGTTCTGCGAGTTATACAGCCGGCGCGGCGCGATCGCACTGCAGGTTGCATCTTCCCCCTGCATCCAAGGGGCTGAAATTAAGCCAAAATCCATATCGATTTTCGCTGCACGCAGGCACGAATTCCTTTCACACCCCTTTGCCTTTTCACGTATACGCTTAAAGAGAAAAGACGAATTTTATTTGGCACGCTCTTTAAAGCGCGACTCGGCCACCGCACCAACATCATCCCCGCCCGGTGTAATGCGATTAAAAAGGTCTCTCTCTCTCTTTGGGCTTAGTGCTTTGGCGGCCGGTGATATATCTATGATAATTCCGCCGAAAATTACACACTCGCTGCTGCCGATGATTTATTAATTAACCGGCCGATAAATTCATATCTCTTCTCTATACCCTGCCTGCTTCCCCAATTAAAAATTCATCCCTTGCTGGAGCGAGCAGCCTTCGCTAATGGCCACCCTAGGCTCTGCTAATGCAAACGCGCCCAACCAAAACCGGAGAGAGCAAGAGGGAGCGAGCCTATAGTTTGCAAAGTGAGAGAAGAGTAAAAGCTGCAGAGATGCGCCTGATTCGATTTTGTTGCTTTGTAAGTTAAAATTGGGTTTTTTAAGGCCATTTTCACAAAACAGGGGGCATTTTCTCAAATAAATAAACACTTGTTTATTTGGAAATTTTGAACTGTTTCCTCAATTAAACTTTTCAGCTTCAGTAGCACATTTTTAACTTCTGTAATTGTTTATGCAGGAAATTATACTCATTGGTTAGCGCTTACGCACTTGAAACATCATATATTTCTGAGTCCAGCGGTACAAGGACTGAAGTTTATCCGCATCCCCATTGAATAATACGCCTAATTTAAATTGTAATCATGACGTATTCCTGCATTTTTGTAAACGTACATTTTCTGCTTGGATAATTTTTCGTACAATGTAATGCTAGAATTTTTAATTTTATTAATTTTGTCAATGTTTATGTGCAGTGACACACAACAGTCACTGGCTTCAGTTGAGGACAAAGCAATTACAAATTTGCCGGGACTATATTTTTCACTGCTCTTTGCGAGTGATTCTGCTAGGTTGGCAGTGCATAATATTTTTCCTCTAGACTCAAAATTCAAAATTAAATAAAAAAAAGCTGCAACTATTTTGGATCAGAAGCTGCAGCTTAATTTCAAATTACGTCTTGGACCGGTTCATGATCAAAAGTAATTTTATTTTTACCGCTATTAAATTTGTATTTATTAAATTTATTCATCTTGATGTTCAGACAAAAGCTTGCAATTCAAATTATGGATAAAACTAATTTTAAGAAGGAACTGAATGTTCCCAACAATGGTTCTCATTTGAATTCAAGTCGTGATGGAGAAAATTCAGTCACTTTGACGGAGAGAGAGATTCGAACTCGCAGATTGCGTCGGAAGCCCAATGACGAGACATTTAAGCAGGGTAATTTAGTTATCTGCCATTTGCAGAATGATAAAACATTTAAGCGGCCTCTCTCGCCGCCAACATCTTGCTCTTTATCTCGCAGAACAAAGAATGTACACACCATTATACGCAGAGCGAAGCACATATTTCGCTTTCCAGAGAGTGAGGGCGAATGCGAAACTTTTTGCCCCGGCAATAATTGGCGTGCCTCAAAAGAAGAATTCCGGCGCGCGATCCGACGGAGCACAGAGAGAGAAATTAGCCCTCTTCTGCTGCGGGGTCGTTCCTTCCGAGCATGGGGGTAATTTGAGCCAAAAGAGAGAAAGTTTAAATACAAAGCGCGCGGCTCCTTGGCCATCAATCAAAGGGAAATAGGAAAACGCATTAGCGATTATTGACCTTTCACCAGACCTGAGTGAGTGAGTTTAACTCGGCGGGCTAATTAATGCTAATGAGCTCCCTTTGCTTCAAAGAAAGAACAAGAAGTAGTTTTCTGTTTGGCTTACCAAAGAGAGAGAGGAGAAAAAATAATTTGCCAAAGCAAATATTTGATCTTGGCAGAGAATTAGACTGGGAGGGATGCACTTAGCCCTGCTGCTGCTGCTGCTGCTTCGGCGCGTGAGAATGGAAAGTGTGCTTGCTCTCTCCCCCGTGCACCCCCATGCAAGGCACCGACGACCGTTTGTTTCTCAACTTCTTTTTCTTCGTCTCGCAACTTAAGTGAAAGGAAAAACAGCGCGGCACCCACGGAAAAAAGAAAACATGCGTCTTCATTAATGACAACTTGAAAGTTTGCGCCGAATCTCGCCTTCGCGCGAAAAGGAAGCGCGAGAGAGAGAAAGAAAGAAAGTTTGGCGCACATGGGACAAGTTTTATTATTACCTCCTTATTCGGTGGCTGCGAACGACAGAGTTATTGGCCCTTCGCATTCCTTTACAGCACCTCTGCTTATTTATCAATCGGCCGCTAATAATTCACGCGGCTAATCCGCAAATCCCTCACTCTAAAAGAGGTAATTTAGGATCAGTTCATCAGTTGGCTTTTTTTTCTCTACCAATTTTCTCTCCATTTCTGCATAGAAGCGGTGACGACAAACAAGACAATTTTCTCGGCAAATCCACCCCAACAAGATGCACCCCGCTGTAAGCACTTCTATATATGCCAGAAGCTGGTGTAGCGCGTGATGCGCTGCATTTTCCGCTGGCTGCACCAAATAAAGTGCACACAAGCCGATCCTTGCAAGAGGTGGGTACAACTGGAGCCGCTTTAGTGCCAATAAAAGACAACAACTCCTCCAGGGCGCGTGTTATCGGCTGACCCGGCACGGGCCCTTTTTCCAACCAAATTGAAACTGCGCTGCACCCGCGGGGGTCACTCCGAGCAAGATGCGGAAAACGCGATTTTTATTGCACAATTTCGATTCTGCAACGACCGCGGCAACCATTTCTGAAAGTGGATATCAACAACACAAAAATGTCCATACACCCGAATGTAAAAATTTCTGTCATAAACAATAATTTGATTTTTGGTCGCAGAAATCAGTGATTTTTATAAAACAAGATATTTTTCACAAAAACAGGAAATTTGCATTTAAAGATTAAGATTTGAGGGGTGGAATTCATGTGAATATTCATTTTTTACAAAGGGTTACGGTCGGTTTAATTTTCAAAAGAAACTATTTTCCAATTAAGTGAGGAAATTTATTATGAAATGTTTTATTTGCAATTTGAAATTTTAATGCCTATAATCTGCAGGATTTCAATGAAAAACATTACAAGAGTCATACCTATTATTTTCCATTATTTTATAAGAAGATTAGGCCCATTAAAATGTCTACAATTATTCTAGTAAGTCTTTCAAGTACTTAAACAAGTATGAATAAATAATTATTTATGTTTCAGAAATTTCATGCTTTTTGATTAATCCTGCGCGTCTTGAATTGAATAAAATGCATCAATCATTTGCGACTGAATTAAATTATTACTTTCAACGTCACTTGCATGCAACGACTTAGATTTTTTGTGAGTTCCTCCTTTTTCTAATCTGCAGAAACGCGGTGGTTCTCTCGGTGGAAAATCTCTCTCGAAGACGCGCGTCATCAACGATTCTCCATTTGTTTCAGTCTCTGCGAGAGAGAGAGAGCAAAAAAGCAGCAGTCGCTCTGGTAAGGAAGCACGTCATCTCTCGCGGAGCACAACTGATTTCTGCATAAAAAGGAAGACTCACTTTGCAGATCAGATCTTCTGTTCTGTCCCCTTTGCTAGGTCGTGTTTCAATCGCAGTAATTGCACATTGCCTTTGACAGCTCGCCGTCTTGAAGAGTCTGGCTCGGCCGATTATCGATTGTTGGCTTTGACTGATTGTTCACGAGATAATTGGCCCCTGCCTAAGTAGGTAATTGCTCCTTTTATTGCAATTGCATGCACGTCACTCATTGTTGCCTTTGCCGCGAGGGCCCTCGGGTGTGCAATTAACGCTTAATTTATTGTTCTGTTGCAGCAAAAAGAAAACTAATAACAGCAAGTTTAAAATAATCTATTCCCACCTCGACACCAATCAAATGAACTTTTTCATAAAGATGAATGAAACAGCTCCATCACATAAGTTTTAAAAAATGTTTCCAGAGGCTTTGTTATTATAGAAAAAAGCGATTATTTTATTTATGTATATATTTTTATTTTAGTCATATTCGACAGATAAAACTTTAAAAAAAAAAAAAAATATGCACCCCGAGTGAAATTAAATCTGAAAGCGCTCGAACAACTGGAATTCCATTCTCATCATTAAAAAGCTAAGTAAAAATGCAGCTTTTGCTCGGAAAAAAAGTTAAAGGGCGTGTATTTGAAGGACACGAGGCAAACGGTGGCTTGATGGACCCTCAAGAAGCATTTTCTCCTGCCAGCATCCTTATTAAAGCGGAGTTGGTCTGGTCTCTCATCATTACTGCTCTCTCGTAAAGAACCAGGGAGCTTGAAATATTCCACGCTGCTGGACGGGCAAGCGAGTTCTTATTTTTCATCTCAAGTCTCACGAGCGACCTCCTAGCCAGGCTCGGATTAAAGGTGCAAGAGTGAGCGAAAAAAAACCAAGTCTGTTTGTTTGTGTTGTCGCCGGTGATGGAATTGAAATTCGTCTTTGGTAATTCGCGTGGAGCGGTGAAATTTTAACGAGGCCCTTTATCTGATTCCAGTGCGGCCGAAACGAGAGGATAAGTAGTGCCCCAGCCAGACTCACAACCGTGCTGCATATTCATGCCCGGCCGGCTGTGGTTTTTCTTGCTCGTTGTGGACGGGAGCGAGCAAGCGCAGGGCATTATTTTCCACCTAATCCTGCGACTCTCGCCCGCTCTTTGCTCTCAAATTTAATTTTATGCACACTGCAATAATACCCGTGAGAGGCAAAGGTGTTTCAACTTTTTTGGAAAATTTAAATTAAAGAAGAAGAATAAGTTTGAAATCTTTTAATTGCAAGCCGAGTGCTCTTTTGAGAGGCAAGTCGTGGGTGGGTTGCCGTAGCGGCGACGGAGGAGAGGGGGCTGTTGACCTTGCTGGTCACTCGGGCATGACCCTTCTCGCGAGACAATGCGCTCTCGCTCGTGATTTGGACTGTGTGAATCCGTGGGATAGCCTTGATTGGCCAGGGTAGGGGCCCCTTTATTTCGTAGCCCAGCAGGCATTCCACACGACTTCTCAGCCGGACCTGCCGCGCCACATTAAAAGCCAACATTCAATCTGTGAGAACAAAATAAGGGCAACTTTATACAATCAAGGTGTGAAAATGAACCGATGAGAAATCGAATTCATAAATATTATGACAATAAAAGGTCATTAAAATAAAAAATAAAATTTATGTATGACAAAATATTATATTATTTACTTCATCCCTTATCGAATTTTAAATTTGTTTTGGCTTTCTCTGATTTAATTTTGAATTTGCCAAAAAGCTAATCAGTAGTTTTATCTAAAGCTTTTTGTGGTGTTTGATTCTCCTCGATGGGTTTGAAGTTGTTTAATGTTTCATGAGAAAAACAATAATCTTGCTCTGCTTGTTTGATGAGCTGAGCATTATTTAGACAAAATCAGGCCAAAACATGAACGGATATTAAAATGTTGTTTTTTCAATGAAACAACAAACAACTCTAAAACCCATCAAGGAAAGGCCGCCTTTAATTGGAATTAATCGATCCTCAGTTAATTATTATTGTATAAATTTGTTTTGTTATTGATTCAGGTATATATTACTATTTATTATTTTTTACAAATTATACATATCTGCTTCATAGTAATTAAACAATAGAAAATTTATTGAATACTCCAATCGCATTACTGATAATTACGTTTGGGTTAAAATATGGTTAGCCTAAATGCATATATATCATTCTCTTGAAAAGCACTCTGTCTCGTTTTTACGAGTTTTGTGTGTGTACAAAAAGTTTTTAACGGCGGCAAAAATCAATGGAGTTGATCCGAAAGGAGTGAATGGTGCTACTGCGCGGTGCAGTGATTTAGTGCCGCGCGCGAAAGAGATAGAGTAGTCAGAGGTGGACTAGGAAAACACGCGTCGGCTTTGTTTAGCCGCTCGTAAATTTAAATTGCTACTCATACTCACACATCGAGCGGCGCGCGCCACTTGGAAACGCAGAGAAAGTTTATCGCTCTCAGCTGCATCAAATTTTTCTGTTTGCCGGATTTCGGTCTTACCTGCAACACACAGAGGAACAAAATCAATTAGTCAGAGCGGGCAATAAAAGTCGGCTGTTAGTTCCGCGGAATTAGTCGCGAGAAATAAAAACACAAGTGAATGCCGTTTTAGAGAAGTGGAAATTCACTCGAGCGAAAATTTAGAACACGGGGAGTGGAATTTATATATGTATCGATCCACTCGAAAACGGAGGCATTGTTTGCAGTCACGGAACATGGAAATAGATAAGAGTGATAAAAGAATGATGACATCAACATTATTATACAGAGGGTCCTCCCTCTCTCCCTCTCGGTCAATTTTCTGCTGAGGTTTCACAAGGGATGATTTGCACACCCGCCGTGTTCTTTTTCTCTCTCTGCCGGCGCTGGCAGGGCCAAACTTTGGAAACCGGAGAAGCTTTTTTCTAATTGGACAGAGTGACCTTCCGACGGATTTTCCGCCACACTCTCTCTCTGACCGACTTTCTTGCTATATCCAGTTTCAAACAGCCCCCGGTCTCGCTGTTGAAACCGAAAAAAAATCCAGTTCTTTAATATATGAACGCAGAAGGAAAAGCAAACAGCGCTCGCATCTCTTGATGAAGGAACGTTTTTTAATAAACGGCCGCCGAAATCGAAATTAAGCGCCTTGAAAGGATTCGCCCATACACAATTTTCTTTCATCAAAGCAACCTCTTCCTCCCTTATTCCTTCTATAATATTTTGCCAGAAACTGGATCCTCCCTCACAAGAGAGCGAACCGGCCATTTACGCTTTTCCCCCCGCAAATAGCCGAGTCGATTTCGCTTTCAATCTTTTTCCAAGTTCAAGAGCGGCGGTACAAATTAATTAGCCGCGAAGGTACAATGCATGCGACACTATCTCGCCACCAACTTTTAACCCCGGCGCTTATCATCCCATCGCGTTGCGTGTTCTTGTTTTATTAAACGCCCGCGCGTGATTAAAGTGGGGACTTACGACCCTATAGCTCTCTCTGCTCACTATATGTTCGTAGAAAAAAAAGTGAAATGCAAAATTTTGTTGAACGCACTTGATTTAATTCAAGGGACGCGCTGAAAATTGCGATAAAGCCTTTCGGTGAATCAGCGTTTTGTCGCAAATCACGTTTCGCACAGAAATGAAATTATTGCGCGCCGGTGGTGCAGAGAAGTGCGACGCTGTGAAATTACATTTTTCCGCCAGAGACAAAGTTCTAAATTGGAATCAATCTGGACAGGCAGAGGTCCCAAACTCCAAATCTAATATAAAGTAAAACGGCTCTAATTGCCAACACTTCACCATATGTTCTTTTTTTTTAATTTAAAACTTTTTCGGCAGGACTCGGCCTTTATGGAAAAAATTATCCGATGGTTGGAAAAAATCTGAACGCAGACTATATGATTATGGAGTGTGCATTTGAGTGCACCAATGCACAACGGACTAATTGAAAGCGGTTCGCAAGCACGGAGCCTGCAAATCAATTAATCCGCGCACCAAAACGCAAACACAGGATTGTTTGATGGTCAAGAATGCAGCTCCCATCTGGTATAATACAAAATATTAACACAGCGGCGAGAGCAATCTGCATTATGCATCAAAACTTTTTTCCACGTAGAGCAAATCTGCATTCAGCATGGTGCACTTTTTGCAAAGCCTTGCTGTTCAACAACAAATAGACATTTCTGTGAATTCATTTGTATGAACATGCGTCATTATTTTTTTACAAAAATATCAACCTTAGGATGGATCCGTTAATAGAATTTTATATCGTCTATGTTAAATTATAACAACAGTTCACTGACCTGCTCTTGATTGTTATTAATTTCTGGGAAGCTCGTCAGGAATAAATTTTTTTTGGAGCGTTAAAAAAATTGAATTGTGTTGGGAAAGGGTCGAATTAAAATCTTTCGGCACGCTGGTCAGAGTTGGTGCGTGTGCAAGAGGGCGAAAAAGAAAAGGAGTATGCATGACTAATGGCAGAGGCCGAAGTCACTGGGCTGCGTCAACAAAGGAAGCCAACCAAAAATTCTCATTTGAATTCCCTTAGCAACGCAGTAATTAAAAGTGCCGAGTGTTGCGAATTTAAGTGCACACGCGGCCCGAATTTAATTGAATCGAGTGCGTACCTGGCCGAGGGTAATTACGCGTTTGATTTACGAGAGGGAGAGTCCGGCTTTAATCATTAACGCGGCGCCTGCTTTTTATTTATCGCCGCACGTCCAGCGGCTCTGATTTGACCTTTCTGTCGCAAAGTGGCCACCGGAGCACCCGCATTTGTTTGCTCTCTCACTTTTGTGCGAGAGAGGGCGACCGGCCACAGGATTTTGACAAAAGTCAAGAGAAAAACGTACATTCGTACGTACGTGCTCACTTGCCACCGAGTTTCTTCCCGCAACGACTAATGATGCCTTTGTGGACTCTTATGTTGGAAAAAATCAGAAAAAATGAACCACAGAAAGTCATAAACTTACTGATTGATTTGCTTAGGTGAGTTAAAAATTGGAAATCACAAATTAATCTGATTTTTTTTATTCTAATGTTTAATTAACAAATTTCAGGGAAAGGTTAATAAAATTTGTCTTTTAATTTAATGAAGAGAATAATTATATACATTTATTGATATGAAGCAGATCCTAAAGCGAAAAAAGTCCTTCTTGTCTTTACAAACAATGATTTTGAATAACAGTTTTTCCTGTATTATTATATTTATGATTTCATAATGCGATTTGACAAAAGAGAAGAAGGTTTGGTTTGGAAACGTTTTAGCGGGCGAGTGTGAGTTGGCTGGCGGTGCAAATTGGCCTACTTTCGCGAGTGAGTTTCGTCGTGGCTGGTGTCAAAGCGACAAATTCGACAAAGGTAATTGCGACGATGGATGACGGGCGAGAGCAACAATTTCGCTTTGACGCCGCATGTAATTAGATCAGCGCGGTGGAATCAATAAGAAGACGCGTGGAATTTCATTTGGCCTTGTTAGGCAACCCGCAAGACAAGCCCCGGGATTTCTCTCTTTCTCTCTCTCCCTGTCTGTCCGCCGTCGGATGATTCTTTATCTCTCTCGTCAGTGCAGCTATAGTGTGCCCGCAGGAAATTAAAGCCCGACCATCATCCCTCGCAGCACCCACCCTCCATCCACAACAGCGCAAGCACCAAATTACTCTTGACGGCCAAACATCAAGTCGGATTGTCGCTGCCACCAATACCTTCTAAACGTGGAAATCCTTCAAAGGTTGTTGTCTTTCACGTCACAACGTTAAGATTTACATTCAGTTGGAAATTCAATTTCATTATAAACTCATAAAAATCTTTTAGGGAAAACTTGCAAGTTTTTACAAAATTTAGCAAATTTATCCTGTCAAAATTCTCAAGCACTTTATCACCCAAAATAAAAATTTGAAATTTGGTAAATTTGAAATTGAAATAGCGATAAACTTTTTTTAATTTTATGGTAAATTAATTATCTTAATTTTTGCCGTAATATTTTAATTTTCAAAGTTAGTCATCCCTTTAAGGTTTGGAGTGACTTTTCCAACAGGGAAGTCGGAAGCCGCCGCTGAGAGGAAAAGCAAACGGTTGAGTACAAAAAGCTGCTGGCAATTTTTCTCAATTAATTAAGAAGAGCGGTGTGCACGTGCGCTTAGCCTAATGAGCTAGATTTCAATTAACCCAACTGCTGCGGATTGCAGAGGGTGCAGTGTGTACAGCACGTAATGCACCTCATAATGCCTGCGACGTAACGGCCGGTTGAGGGCCATCAAGTTTATGTTTGCGGTTATACTTTAACGGCCGCGAGATAACTTTGCCGCTGCTTGAATTTTACAAACTGCCAACTCTTTCGCTTCACCATGAAATATTCAGAGAGACGGACGGACCTCGCCAGGAGAGACGGACGTACGCACCCCAAACAACTTTGCCCAACGCGGTATATTGGGCAAACTTTGGCAAAGCAGCAGCGTTTGGGAATAAACTCGCAGACCACTTGGGTTCCAATTAGAGACGCATCTGCCATTCACCGAAAGTTCTGCGACATTTATCACCAAACTTGTGCACATTTTAACCTTTTTTAAAATAAAAAATAAAATGCGGATATCTTGTCAAATTAGTTGGTTTTTTTAATAAACAATATGAAGAAATAGAGAAAAATACTAATAATAGAACAATTTAATTTTAAATGCTTCAATTCTAAGCAAGGAGATTATTTGGAGATACAATCAAGATTATAAAATATAAATTTTTTATTGTAGTTTAATTGCTTTTCAAATATTTAATTTGTCACCTTCATTTGAAAACATTTCAGCATAAATAATTTATTTATGTTTGCGTTGGTAAAGAATTAAAAATCTTAATTCTAATCTAATATATTTTATTTTCGTGTGAAATGACACAGAAATTTCCAAATTAAGCAAAATTTCAACCAATTTAAACGATCTGGTAATAAAATAAATAGATTTGCGCCAAAAGCTTCTAATTTTCTGGCACTAATTTCCAAGGCGAATAATGGAGGGCAAGACTTTATGTCAGAGGTTGTATATAATACTCTTGTAGAAATTTGAGAAGAATGGAGTCTGTGAAAAGAAAATTCGGAATTCTGGGAGTCAAAAAGCACGCTTGACTTATTATTCATTCACGCAACTTTTTCCGCTCTCGCAAGTCGCCGCAGCCGCCCGCCGGTTCAAGATAATAATGAGAAAAATAATAATGTCGTAGCTCATGCGGCGACGGCGGCGGCACTTTGTTGGAAAAGCTCTGGGCGCACTGCACTGCACTGAACACACACATTTCTCTTTTCTTCTTTTGCCGCGGGCTCACCGTGAAATTAAAATATTAAATCACGTCGCTCCTTATTCATTCTCGCCACAAATTCTCTTTTTCATTAATACACCCGCGCACCAAAAAGAACTAGATTTTATCGAGGGACCAAAAAAAATAAATGCACCCTTGTGTTTTCTGGGGACACGCTGGCTGCGAGTCATGAATAATGTTAATGAAGCCAATTCATCACACTTTCCCTCGAAGGTTGTTTGTCGCGCCACTTTCCACCTAATTGCCCGTCTTGACTGCTCCTTTTTAATTGCACCGATTCATGTTTCAAACCCGTCCGCCGTTCGCAAATTGGCCCCCTTGTTTCTCACAAAATTCACCAGAAACAAGGTAAGAAAATTAAATCTATAAACTTTGCAAACAATAATTCAGCAAGAATATAAAAAATTACTTTTCATAATTGCAGAATTAAATAATTTTTTACGAGCTCTCCATGTTTTGTTTGAAATGTTCACAGCAAGTAAAATCATCATAAATTGATGAGTTCGCAGGCCAAATTTAATTTTAAAAAATAGACCTCGTCGTTCGGGAATTGAATTATAAAGAAAGGCGATTGAATATGAAAGGAAGGGCTGCAGTGTTGTCTTTTTGTGTGCAGAGCCGTAATAATTTGGAGGCTTGAGAGCCGTCAACAAAATGTTGGTCGGCTCCCAACGCTCATAAATAGAGCGAAATAGCCGCCTGCTCCCAATAGAAAAGCAAGGGTGCGTGTCACTTTGAAAATATTCAGAGCCGCACCCGCCGCCGGATAAACAAACAAACAAACAGACTTGGTGCAAGTGAAATATGCTGTTTGTTATTTGGATGGTCCTTCCCTTCTTTTGCTCTTCGTCTGAAGGAAAATGATTTGTCAGTGCAAACACCTGCGCTGAAGAAAAAGAAAAAGACCTCGCTGTTGGCAGGACATTAATTTTGGCATGCAGAGAGTATGTATGGGGGTGGACGAAAGTAATCGATGGCTACAATGAAGCAAAAACAAGTGACTAATTTGTTGGCGCCGATTCACACTTTTTCTCCTCGCCGCTTGTGAATGAGCGCTCAAGAATTCGCGGCCCGCGCTGAATAAAAAGCGTTTATTTTGAATGAAAACTTGTGCCAAGAGCAAAAAACGCGAGAAAACTTAATTGGCTGTGCACGTAAAAAGTCACAATGGAAAGTTTTGCGCTTTTGACGAGAGAGCCAATTCAAAGTGCATCCCTCCCTCACAACTGCAACACACGCTTTGTTGAGCACACGAGAGGCAAAAAGACCGACCAACTCAAAGTACGGAAAGGAATTTGCGGCTTATGAATTGTTTTGCTCCTCTTTGCTTCCGCCATCTCATTCCGCGGAATCTTCCCCACATCAATTACAAAACGGACAAAAAGAAGTCACTTTCAAAGTTTGATGATGCACATTAATTTTTATTTTGCCACATATTTATACAGTCCAGTTGGAAACCTCCTTGATTAATTAATTCGAGAGAGAGATTCGCTGAGGTGTTCGACTAGCGAGGCAAGATTCAGCAAACCGCAGCTGCTTTTTGCTTGTTAGAGAGTCTGCTGCAGCCTTGTTTCAATTAGCGTGTCTTTGTATAAATGCAGCGAATCTGCAACCCGCTCTTCTTGTCTCTAAGTCTCTTCAGAGTTAATCACACGACGAGTGGCAGCGACACTATTACACACAGAATAGAGGGAGAGCGAGAGAGATATGCCGGAGTTAAAATAAAACACACAACCAGCACATATTTTAATTAGCCGCGAGAGCGAGGCATTGTGTCTCCGCTGCTGCAACCCCGGCCGTCGCTTCATTAAAGAGCTGTTTCTTCCTCCGGGGAGTAAGACGAAGGCCCTCCACTTTTCACTCAGCTCTGCGTTCATTACTATAAAAACTATAAGATGAAGAGAAGATTCTTGAAAATATTGCAGGAAAATTTACTTGATCAACATTTAATTGTTCAATTTTTTTACATTAGTTATATAAAAAAATATCTTATCAAATAATGCGACTTAAAAATAAGAAAATCAGGTTGAAATTAATGAAATTTTCTAGGTAGTCCACGAATGAAGTTCGCGCGAACAAACTTTGCTGAGCGAACAAGGAATTGACGCAATAATGAAATGGAATTGATACATAAATTTAGTAAATTTATTTAACTTTCAAAATAATTTTTTCCTGTAAAGTTAAAATACTTATTTGTGAACTGACCATATATTGAAACATTTAAATCCATTTCATTTTACTCTAAGCAATTCAGTCATTA